CTATGGTGGTCAATGCGGCTCAGTTGGCCTCGTATTCGCAGGCGAAGCAGATGCTCCTCTCTACGGCCTACTTCAACGACAACATTGCCTGTCACTTCTGGGCGTCGATGATCTCGGGGCTGATCACGACGGCGGCGTCGATGCCGGTCGATATTGGTGAGTAGATTTGGGGGTGATTTAATTTGTTTACAATCGATGATGTAATCTTGTCTTTTTTTCCAGCCAAAACGCGCATTCAGAACATGAAGACGATTGATGGAAAGCCAGAGTACAAGGGCGCGTTTGTAAGTGATTGAAGCAACAGGTGAAATGTGTGCTCTAAATGGCTAACTGTTCTATTTCTATTTCCACCCACCCCACCTCCTTTCAGGACGTCCTCGGCNGTTTGTAAGTGATTGAAGCAACAGGTGAAATGTGTGTTCTAAATGGCTAACTGTTCTATTTCTATTTCCACCCACCCCACCTCCTTTCAGGACGTCCTCGGTAAGGTCATCCGAAATGAGGGTCTCTTTGCGCTGTGGAAGGGCTTCACGCCGTACTACGCCCGTCTGGGGCCGCACACCGTGCTCACCTTCATCTTCCTCGAGCAGATGAACAAGTCCTATCGGCTGTACGTGCTCAAAGATAGCAGCGGCGGCGGTGGACTGTAAAGAAGAGCAGTGTTGATGGTGGTGGTGAAGAACAGCAACAACAGCAGCAAATGATAATAGGTCACAGTTTGACCGTTTCGCCTGAACCAAGAAGGAGAAAAGTAGTCCAAGTTTAAGATGTCCAAAGAAGACACACAGTCGTCCAGTTTTTCTTCACCTTTATTGATGAGCTTTCTCACTGGCGTTTTTTCACCCTTGAAGCTCTGCTCTTGCTGTTGCCGTTGCCGCTCTTTTCTGCTCTTGTCATCACCTTTGANTGGTGGTGGTGAAGAACAGCAACAACAGCAGCAAATGATAATAGGTCACAATTTGACCGTTTCGCCTGAACCAAGAAGGAGAAAAGTAGTCCAAGTTTAACAATGTCCAAAGAAGACACACAGGCGTCCAGTTTTTGTTCACCTTCTTTCATTGATGAGCTTTCTCTCTGGCGTTTTTTCACCCTTGAAGCTCTACTGTTGCTGCCGCTCTTCTGCTCTTGTCATCACCTTTGGCCGTTTTTAGCTTGAAAAACTCATCGTTTTAGCATGCTCTCGTTACTCGTCGTTAAAGATTTTATTTTTTATTTTACCGTTATTGCTTTTCCCCCGCTCTCCTCCTCTCCCAACTCTATTCAGTGTTTTATGCCGTTGTTAGGTTGTCAACAGGCACACACACAGTCGGCGCTCATTAAAGAAACAACGGACAATCATAATCACAAACACTTGAACGAGACAAAATGTGTGCATATAAAAGACTCGCACTTTTCTAGTTTACCGTTTTCAATGTGTTCATATGTCAGTTCTAGTTCTTCAACTTTTCATCATGTTCACCTTACAGCTTTTCATCATTTTCTTAACGTTTTCTTGGTCAGCCGTTGACGGAGGCAGTAGTANCTTTTCCCCCGCTCTCCTCCTCTCCCAACTCTATTCAGTGTTTTATGCCGTTGTTAGGTTGTCAACAGGCACACACACACAGTCGGCGCTCATTAAAGAAACAACGGACAATCATAATCACAAACACTTGAACGAGACAAAGTGTGTGCATATAAAAGACTCGCACTTTTCTAGTTTACCGTTTTCAATGTGTTCATATGTCAGTTCTAGTTCTTAAACTTTTCATCATGTTCACCTTACAGCTTTTCATCATTTTCTTAACGTTTTCTTGGTCAGCCGTTGACGGAGGCAGTAGTAGTAACAGTATCGTCGGTCCTCGTCGAATTCGAACCTCCTTCGCCATGGAGCCCGACTTCACGCGAGCTTACTACGTTGGTGGTGGAGGTGGTCATTCTCCCTCTTCAAATGCCATTGAAAACAGCAGCAATCAGTACTCGGATCAACAGGGAAACTACGGCGAACTGGCACCAACAGCTCCGCTAATTGAAGATCATCCTTCGAATTACCATCACCGTCCTCAACAGCAACAGTATCAGCAGCCACAGCAGAAAAGTTATCAGCCGCAGAACTCTTATCAATCTCCGTCATCATCATCATCTGCTGGCTGTCGAAAGAAGAATGCGGAAAATGGCTACCATTACGGTGGTGGTGGTGGTGGGGAAAAGTGTGATGGAAAAGGCTCCCTGGAGGAGTGCATCCACTGTCACATGCGACCTGCGGAGGCGAAGCGTTTCACCAAGTGTCAGCAGTACTTTCGAGAGGGACTCAACAACGCCACTGGCGTCGCTGGTGGAGGAGCAGGAGGTGGTGGTGGTGGTTCTGGTGATAAAGGTGACAACGTGACTTTGGCTGTTGAAGAAGGAAGTGGTGGTGGTCCTGGTCCTGGCGAGGATGGCGCCCTGGTCACCTGTTGCCACCTGAGCCGCTTCATGCGCTGCGCCGCGCCGCTGGTGATGCGCGCCTGCCAGCACTGCGCCCTGGCCGCCTTTGTCCGCCAGTACCGGCCCCACCTGGAGCTCTGTCACCTGGTCACCACCATTCAGTGTCCGCTTGCGGATGGCCGATTTATGGATGAACTTTGAGGGGGAAGTGAAGTGAATGGATTGAGGTGATTTTAAAGTAATGGTCAATAAACGATGTTGATAAAGAGGTGGTGATAAAAGGATGTGCTGATTAGAGGATGTTGGTGGTGAAGATTTTATCTGTCAATCAAAGCTGGTCAAAAAAAGTTTCGTGGTTTCGATTTCTAAATAGCCAGTTTCGTCATCGCTCTTTTCCTACAAAGCGCTACCTAGTAACAGTAGCTGAAGTTAGAGGCGAAAAAGTAAATGTTTTCTTTTCTTGTTTTTCTTCTCTCGCTACTGTTTTTGCCTTTGCCAGTTTTGACGGCCGCCGCTGCTGCGCTTCTCAACCGGTCTCTTGTTGCTCTCTTATCTACTCTTCAGCAAGTGCCTCCGTTCTTCGGCCAATGATTTCTTTTTGAGCAAGCAATCACAGAAGGAGGAGGAGGAGGTTGTGGTAACATCACCAGTATTTTCTTCGACGGTACGTACTTAAACTGTAAAACTTCGCACTCCTATCTTCAACCTTTTTTTCTTCTTGCACCGACAGATTTCCACTGCTTTGCCCTTCAGCATCATCATCAGCAGCAGCAGTGCCACATCACTGGAAGCCTGTCGTCATCTACCATCATAAATCGAGCTTATCTTATGTACTAGGTATCTAGGCACACACTGTTGTTATCTAGTGCTTCATCTAAAAACGGCAATTTACGAGATTATAGCAGTATTTGGTGTTGCTGACGCTAGTTTATAGCCTGCCGCCTCATTCTTGGATCCTTTAATGTTCAGACACAGTGTTTCAGGCCTGCTTCGCAAACTTGACTGCCTCGGAAAGACACCACCTTCTTCTGGTCGGCTTCAACTTCAGCTTCGAATTCAGCTTCACCTTCAACTATCCTCTGCCAAAATGGCTACCAGCACCACCGTCACCACCAACAGTATCACCCTAAACAATGCACCCATCACCCCAAAGTGCACCCACGTCCTCTTTGACTTTGACGGAACGCTGGTCAACAGCATCGACCGCATCATTGAGGTGGTTGACCAGCTGATTCAGCGAGAGAATCCCAGTCTACGCATCACCGAGAAGATTAAAGGTTCGAAGGTTCAGCCAAATGTTTCTAAATGCGCCCTTTCTAAATCATCCCTTCCTTCCCTCCTTACGACCAAACAGACTACATCCCCAACCTCACCTCCTTCCAGAACCTGGTGACGCTGATGAACACCGAGCTGCCAAACTTTTCCCTCGACCCTGATGAGACGGCGCTGTACATTGGCCGGGAGGCCCGTTCAGGCTTGAAACTTCTTCCCGGCGTGGAACGCCTCGTCAAGCACCTCCACCGCCACCACATTCCCATGGCGGTGGCCACCGGCGCCGGCCGAGAGAACTACGCCTACGGCGTGGCCAACTTCCCCGACTTCTTCGCCACCTACATCAGCCACGCCGTCTGCGCCTACGACGACCCGGAGGTGGAGCGACGGAAGCCGGCCCCCGATTGTTACCTGGTGGCGGCCCGCCGCTTTGCCACGCCCCCGGCGGACATGTCCGCGGTGGTCGTCTTCGAGGACTCGATCACCGGGCTGAAGGGCGCCCTGGCCTGTGGTGGCCAGACGGTCTTCGTCTCCAGCTGGGCGGCGATGTTCACCGAGGAGACGAGGCC